CAGGCACTTTCCAAAGATGCTGCATGCTGAGATCACCTCCTCAAAACTGATAACACCAAGAGGTCAACTACCTGACAAATTGACGCTGATGAGATTTGAATCTAGCTCTCATGGTCAGAAAGCAAATATTCTATCCACTCAGCAACATATATAGAGATTTATACTGCATCTATGCTGAGCAGACCTTAGTTACAGTTTCTGTGAGAGAGCGTGGTCAACAATCTGAACCAGGCTAGCATGCTCAAACCCTCAGTCATGATGACTTGTGACTTCATGCTAGCACAACCACTGACAGCTTCCAAGGGTTCCGTCTATCCAATTTACCCAACAAGATGTGGGTTTATATGGTTTTCAGGCACCTTCCAAAGGTGGCGCATGCTGGAATATATATATATATATATATATATATATATATATATATATATATTTAAATTGACTGGAAGGAGGATTTTTGTTTTGGGGGGAGTTGCTAAAAGATTTGATTTTAGGGCCACTTTTCAGCTCACATTTATTGCAATGTAATTCTCTATATTAAAAAAATCTTCCAAAAATAAAATATAATTTCCTGAACCTCCCAAAGGTTCTATCTACCCAATTTCACTCACAAGACTTGAATCAACCATAGTATGGTTTTCAGGCACTTTCCAAAAGTGCCGCACACTTGGGTCGCCTCCTTCAAATCGATTACGTCAACAAATCCCCTTTCTGAAAAACTGACCATGGTAAGATCCGAACACAGGTCTCATGGTCAGAAAGCAAATATTCTATCCACTCATCCACATATATATATATATAGATTTATACTGCAACTATACTGAGCAGACCTTAGTTACAGTTTCTGGGAGAAATCATCTTATCTAATGTGATCAACAGTCTGAACAAGGCCAGCACGCTCAAACCCTCAGTCATTGTAGAGTTTGGCAATAGCAGCAGACAGTACTGATTGTAATTGAAGTTGTCTGACTAAACGAAATCTGCCAGGCAAATTGGTAGGTGGTTTATATAATAGCCTGGGAGATTCCACTCTGTAACGGGCAAGTCTATTCTGTAAGTTCTGATTGGCTGATGATTCCAGTGTGGATATTGTGCTCAATAAATATCCAGCATGATATCCACCCTGTGACTTTATTCATGAGAGGCACATGTATTGAGTTACAACCCTGTTTATTTTTGTCTGCCAACTGGATGCTAGTTGGAAACCTACTTGCGAAGATGAGTTTCACACTCTTGATTGTTCAGTCATGATGACATGTGAATTCAGGCTAGCACAATCATTGACAGCTCCCAAAGGATTCAAGGCTTGGGTCAACCCCTGTTATGGTTTTCAGGCACTTTCCAAAGATGCCGCATGCTGAGATCACCTCAAAAATTGATAATACCAAGAGGACACCTTTCTGACCATGATGAGATTCAAACCCAGGTCTCATGGTCAGAAAACAAACATTCTAACGACTTACCCACATATGTATATGCCCATATATATATATATATATATATATATATATATATATATATATATATATAATGGGGAACACGGTGGAATAATCGATAGTGGCTTGGATTGAGAAATCGGCAAACCGAGTTCAAATTCCAGTCAGATCCATTATATTCAATTACATGCTGATACCATTGGGAAAGGTATCAATCCTCTTCTCCTCGCTCCCCACCCCCCAAGTTATGGGTAAGTAGCAGAACAGACTGGGTTCTATAGCTTTGGGTGGCAACTGTTATAGGAGAATGTAACTCTGCATTCAAAACCAGTTTGGAAAGGATTAGGTGCCATCAGGCTATCTTGCGCAAGAAACACCATTTCTACTGCAGCTGCAGTACACATAGTGCTCTTACAACTCTAATGGGTCACAGGATTTGTGATCATATATATCACCAGAATAGCCTAATTTGGTAATCTTAAACATAGGTTATGGAACACCAAATATGTGTCTCTCAGAGTAAAGATCAATATATATACAGATCAGTCATTCTCTCAACCCTTCTCTATGGTGGACCCTGTACTGCATGCACATAAATCAACTTGACGCCTTTCATATGCGCTATCTTCGTGCCATATGTGATATAAAATGGGATGACAGGGTCAAGAATAGTTCAATGCTGAAGAAATGTAACAACATCACAGGCATTGAAACCATTCTAGCAAAGATACAACTTAGGTGGGATGATCATGTTGTGAGACTGGATGGGCATAAGCTTCCAGAAAAAGGTGCTGTATGGACAACTACCAAACTCCATTCAGCTGGATGTCCCCTCTTACACTACAAAAACAAATTGAAAGACAGCTAGAAAACATCTCAAATTTGATCTGAAAACCTGGGAAGCCCAAGCATCAAACCGAAAGGAGTGATGTAAGATGTGCTTCATAAAGTTAAAACATGTACGTTAGCCGAAAATAATCATCTAGCATGCAAGTCCAAAGCCCAAAGAAAAAAACCTGATAGGAGTACACAAAAAAACTAAATAAAGTGCTCAATACAGTGTGTAGAGCAGAGCTAGGCCTTCCCTGACGATCTGCTTAGGTGAAACCTTGGTAGGTTTGTCTGGCTCTCTAGGTTTATATATATATATATATATATATATATAATTTGATGGACTCTCCCTGTCGTATTCAAGGTATAAAGGTCAAGCAGCTCAGTTCCTAGGAACTGACGGCCAGACACCAGCACACATGATTTGATTATAGTGGTGAACCACACTTTTTGAAAAGCTGAATACAGAGACCTCTGAATCTGAATTGCTCACTTTTTCACTATCTCTCTTAGTGGCAGCTTTTTTTTTTTTTTTTTTTCCTGAATATTTTTTTTCCTTGAGATAAACTAGTAAATGTAATATGAATCAATGACTGACCCCAAAAGCAAATTCCTGCCACTCCTCTCCTAAAACTCTGGCCTTGTATTCAGCTTTCAGAAGAAAGACAATTATTGCTTAATTGCTTCAGTCTTATGGCTGAATACTGGAGCCTGACTAAGTTGTCACAAAAGCTAACTTCATTCGAAGATAAACATGGGATTGGTGCTTTGTATTGACCTAAGGTCACTAGAGGTCATCACAGATCAGTTTAGGGTCAATACTCTAACTTTAGGTCAAAATGCAAGAAGAGACTTTTTTTTTTTTTTTTTATATAAATCAGACACCCCCCAACTGCATCTATCTATAGAAACATTAATTTAAGAAATGCAAATAGAGGTGCAGGTGTATAAATCATTAATAATATAGAAAATAGAGTTGGTCACTTTGGCAATTTATGTTTTGGTGCCAGTTTCCATTTTTTTTTCCTTGATACCATGGTTTGCGATTTGGTTTTCCAGTTTTTAATTTAGTATTTTTGCCTTCTAATGAAGCCATTCATATTCTTGTGTAATGATAGCATTTCCAGTCGGTATCTGATTTCATTTGAGATTGATAGATTTGCAACTTAGTCTGTTCAACTCACATTATCTCATGTATTTACTGTCCAATCTTAAAAATATTCATATGGCTAGAAAGAAAATAAAATAATCTTTGTAAATATGTCATTTGTGTGTACTTTTTCCTTGAATCATTTTTTTTTACAGAAAATGGTATTTTGCTTCAACCAGCCAAAAATGCAAAATGTAATTTTTTTTTTTTTTTTAATATTAAATTTTACACGTTACTTCATTTTGCAAAATCAAAGGGACCAATCTTTATTAATATTCTTGAAATTGTACACTCAATTAGAAGATTCCTTAAACTACAATCAGAAAGATATTCATTTCTTCTCTGACCCAAGGAAGTAAATTCCTTCAAAAATTATTAAGTAAGCAAAAAAAAAAAAAAAAAAAAAAAGAAGCATCTGATAGTAATAAACGTGTGGTAAAAGAACTTTGAAATTATTGAAACTACTGTCTGACACTGACTAGTGACTAAAAAAAAAGAATAGAATAGTTTTTATTTTGCGTTTTAAAAAAAAATTTCTTGCAGTGTTGAAAATAGACATTTTAAAACTGAGATTAAAACTTACTTTATTTTTTTAATATCTAATTTTAGGTGTATTTCACTAGATAGAAGCATAATATTTGTAGAAAACAATTTTACATTAGAGACTCACGTACACATTTTAAAAGTGAAATTAAGAACTATTTTAATTATTCTTGATATCTAATTTAGGTGCATTCTCTAGATAAAAAATTTACTTTATTTCGTGATTGGCGTACTGGCTTACGAGAAAACAATAATTAACCTTCCTTACAAAAAATCTGACATTAACATTAAGACGAAACTAGCAACTATTTCTCTTTTTATTTTAACTTGCTATTTTTTGTTAAATTAATTTTACGATAAAAAGTTTTGTCTGTTTTTATTTTTATTTATTTTTTTTTTTTTTTTGCAAACTTAAACAAATAGATGAAATGAAAGTGAATTTATATATTTTGATTTTTGTTCTTGAGAATTGACAACAAAAATGTTAAACACTATTTATTTATTAGATTGTTTATTTACAAAACAATATTTATCTTTTACCATATAAAGAAAAACAATATTTTATTCATAAATTTTTAAACATTTACTAAATTATTAAAATATGTGAACCAATGATAAGGAAATCTTTATTATTTACCATTTTATAAAGTTTGAATCAATTGGCAATTAGCCAATGTTTTGCCAACCATTCCAATCAACAATATAATAAATAGCGTTTATTATTTTTGTTGTCAATTCTCCAGAACAAAGAAAATGTATAAATTCACTTTCATATGTTTAGGTTTTATTAAAATTTTAATCATTGCTTTTTAAAACAATAAACATTGCCGAGGAGTGAAGGTAGTTAAAATAATAGTGGTGTCAAGGGAAAAACTGTCCTTTTGACACTGTTTTATTTTGTGGGTGAAGTTTGCCGTGTAATTCCTCGTTGTTCCTTCATTCTTAGACTATGACCTAAATATTTCTTTTTTTGCTAATTTCCATATATATATATATATATATATATATCTATGTATAATTTGTGATTTTTTTTCTTTAATTTTCAGGGGAATCTGGCTTGGGTAAATCCACATTGGTGAACAGTTTATTCCTTGCTGACCTCTACCCGGAACGACACATTCCATCTGCCTCAGGTCAGTGACGTCTGCATACCATTTGCCTACACAGATGCTATTCCATCCTTAGATACTATTGTATTTATTTACCATTCTAAAACTGTGGGTTGAAATCCCCCCCACCCAGTGTTTTCATGTCCAACTTGATCTATAAGGGTACTGATGTAAATAGATATGAGGTTGTAAAGGGGTGCATCTGTGGTCGTTATAAGAATGTGCTCTGTTTGGTTCTTTGACAATTTCTAATTACTTTATTCCAACATGAGTCTGAACATACAGATCAGCAATTTCTGCTTTTTAATATAGTAAGGACAGGTACCAAATGTTTATTTGTACATGATCAGTGAATTGGGAATTGAACTCTTATAGAAATGTTAAAACTTCATCACAAAAATTAAGTAATCTTTTTTCAATTTATATTAATTCGGCAAAAAATACAACATCTTTTATCTATCTAAATAAACAAACTGCAAATTCTGTCTGTTCATCCTTGTGTCTAACTCGGGTCACACTTGCTCTACATAGACATATTATACCATTTTGGAATCAGGATGATCCTGGGATTAAAAACCTGCCCTTTATCTGGTGCTTGAACATCCAGCACTGGGATTTGTGTCTGGATGACGAGGGAACAGTTAAAAATTCAAATTTTAAAATAAATGAAAAAAATTAGTGATTTTAAAAGATTTTAATTTATATTGAGTTTAAAGTAACACAAAATCTTTGTGAATTTAAATTTTTTTGTTTTAAATACATTTTAAAACATCTCCAAAACTATGTGAACTAAGGAAATGAATTTTATTTTTTCAAAATCTCAAGTAATCAGAGAGAAAGTGACATGACATTTTGATGTTCCACAGAGCTTGTGATTGAAAGAACTCAATTTTCAGCCTGAATTGGAATGTTACCCCAGATCAATCTTTTGGCATGAACTGGATTTAAAACCGAAATCAGAGTTAAAGTGAGGTTTTGAAGTTCCATGGAGTGAATTGAGGTTTTTAAAGTTATTACTTCAAAATTTTGATTGCTGTAATGGCTGTTTGTAGGAGAGACTTTGTAAATCCCAGATACAAGAAAAGTAACTAGTAACGCCTTTGAACAATAATCATCAGACACCACTGATCCCCATATATATATATATATATATATATATATATATATATATATATATATATTTCCTTTACCTGTCATGTAATTTCAAGATGAGGTCAAATGTGCTTGCTCTTTGATCTGTATTTAAACCCAAGTGTCAGCAGTGACACTATTTCTATATGACAAAAATATTCAGAAGGTTTATTTAGATTGTGCTCCAGCTCTTCAGATGGTCAAAAAGTGATTTGGCAGATTTTGTCAGGGTGTTTTTTGTTCTAACCAAAACAATCAACTACACTCTGGGCAACCTTCCAGCATTCTTGAAAATGCTCTGCTTGCTATTATGGAGAATAAACCCTAGATTTTCAATGGAAGAGATTGCTAAATGTTTGAAAAATCGATATCTCAACTGCATTTTGGCATTTTTAAGAGTCTTGTGTTCAAGAAAAACAACAGATTTCTCCCAAAACTCACAATCTGACAAGATTTCTTTTCATCAACAACTACCAGATCCAGTCTCCTGGCCTAGATTGGGATGATCTGCTAGAATTGCAAAAAATCCCAGAGAATTTTCATGTACTTTGTTCTCTAGGACAGATTCTAATCTACACATATGGCACTGGTCTGTATGGTCAAAATGCAGTTGCTTGCACAGTTCTGAATGAATTACCTTTCCCATCCAACTATGCATATTCTTTTTCTTACTTTCTTTACAGAAAAGATAAGCCAGACAGTGAAGATAGATGCTTCCACAGTTGAAATTGAAGAACGTGGAGTGAAATTGAGACTCACAGTCGTCGACACTCCTGGTTTTGGTGATTCCTTAAATTCTGAAGATTGGTAAGTTTCCAATGTTAGGATGTTCGTAATTGGTCAGATGCTCTTCTGACAATTTACTTGGAAATTTTTTTTAATCATTTCACCCCAAGCAAGGCAATAAAACCACTAAGCTATAAGGGGTTACTAAGTGTTAGAAAATATGAAAAAAATATACTATTAAGGAGAGTAAACAATAAAAGAACAGGAATTAAGAAGACAGAAGGTAACAACTGAAAGAAATACACGAGAAGAAACGGTTACCATAGAACTTTTGGTCGCATCTATCCATTTCAACTGTAAAATGATGAAGCCTTACTACTAATCTTGTACTGCGCTTAAATTCATAAAGTCTAGGTACCATAGAGGAAAGCTCATCAGAACAATTACCATGAAAGTATTTATAGAAAAGGCACAAGGAGGTCACATTGCAGCAGTTGGAAAGTGATTGAATCAGAGATGTCAGCTCAAGACCAATAATATTGCAGATTTTTCATTGGTATTCCTCTGAAATAGCAGTTTTGTTGCCAATTTACTAGCAAAGAAATTTGAAAGTTTTTTTTTAATCCAAGCTGATTTCCAAAATAAATATTCCCCTTTTATTAATTCCAGATTTTGATGTACGGGTTAATTGGCATTGATATGTAGGTAATGTAGCTCTGAGCAGTGTGAAAAGGGGAATATGTGAGCCAGGTTCAAATTCTGGCTCCAGCAACAAAGCCTCTGATCGGGGAAAATTAGAGGTTTTGAGGAGTGTCAGACCACCCCTTAAATTGCTGTTGTTCTCAGGTTCATCTTAACCTGGGGAGGTAGCACATTTATGTGCCATGTTTCCTCAGGATATAAGCAATCATGGCTCTCTACAGTTTCCTGTCCTTTGTAACTCTTAATAAATTTTGTCTTTTTGTTATTTTTCTGAAACCCGGTTCTGCCATCTATTTGCTTAAGCTCATCAAGTATGTTATGTGCTGTTTTCCTCTTGCTCTCAATCATTCCTGTGAGTATTAGATTCTCCAAGCCTCCTTCCTCAATATATGTCCCAGAAATTTCAACTCCCTCTTCCTGGTATTAAGTATAAGTTCCCTTTTTGTTTCCATCTTCTTTAAAACCTTGTTGTTGCTCATATGTTTGGTCCATGGTATCCTCAGCATCCTTCTGTAGAACCACATTTCTGCGGCTTCAAATCTTCGTCTTTGAGGAGACTGTCCGGTATCCACTGCCATATAGGAGAACTGTTATTACATAACAGTTCAATACTCTTTTCTTTGTTTCTCTAGTTTCAAATCTCTTCTTCGTCTTTGAAGAGACTGTCCAGTATCCACTGCCATATAGGAGGACTGATATTACATAACAGTTCAATACTCTTTTCTTTGTTTCTCCAGTTTCAAATCTCTTCTTCATCTTTGAGGAGACTGTTCAGTATCCACTGCTATATAGGAGGACAAATATCACATAACAGTTCAGTATTGTTTTCTTTGTTCCTAAAGTAGTATGTGAAATTTACCATAAAGTTAATTGTTATTCTCTTTGTAAATGAACCTTGCACCAAAAAAAGAAAGTTTGGCATCATATACAGTTAATTTTCAGAGACTGTGATACATTACCATGGCAATGGAAGCTATTTAAATATAGTGGGGTTATTAGGTACGTATTAAACATTCACATATATATGTCAGTGGGTTAAACTAGTGTGGCTTCTTTTAAGAAGCATGTGATAAAGAATGCACTGCTTAGTAATGAACAGGAAATACTTTCCAAATTTTCTGGAAGTGAAGAATTTTTAGAATTAGAACATTTTAACAAATTAAGCAGTTAAATTTCATTTCAGTTTAACTTGTTTTAATTCTTTTCGTTTAAACATTTGAAGTATTTTACAATTTTTCTTGAAGTTTCAACTTACAGATTAGAGAGCATCTTGATAGCATTCTTAGCAATAGGTGTTGTGATGTGTGCCATCTCTGCATTTGTTTTAGAGCAAATTGGATGGTCTGTTTGGCACTGACACACTCAATCTTAAAGTACATCTTGCACAGAAATCTAGCAAAGATTGTCTTTACAAAGATTTAAAGTCTTCATCCTGGAAATAGGTGATTGATTTTTTGTTTATTTTTTTAATCACTTCACTCCAAGTAAGGTGATAAAGCCACTAAGGAACAAGGGATTACTGAGAGTTGTAATGAGTTGGTCAGTCAACTTGACACCCCCAAAGTGAGTGGAGGTGGGCAGGCGCAGTAACTGTGATTGGTAGCTGGCTTGTTGGTGTTTTGCATAGGTGAGTTACCAAGCTCTATGTAAAGGGCTGGAATGAGAAGGAGGGCAGTGTTTTTCAGTCTCAGAAGTGGAGACTGTGTCCATCACTACGACAGCAGGAGAGAAAGAGACAAAATCATTTATTTTTTTGTGACACATTCCAACACAGAGAGTTAAAGAATTGGAGGAAGCATTCATGAGGAGAAAGGATGATAAAAACAAAGGTGTTCAGACAGAAAATAAAAATTAATGCTGCATTTAAATTTTTGAAGGTCGTAGTTGACAGGAAAACTAAGGTGGAAGAGTCCCACAGGGGAGAAGCAATTTTTAGAATAGAAATATGGTTACATCTTAGCTGTTTCAACAGTAAAACAAGGAGACCTAATTGTCAATCTAGTAGAACACTTAAATTAATGAGGCTTAAATGTAGAGGCTGTTCTGAAAATGTGGCCATTTAAATGTTGAGGCTATTCTTAAAATGTTGTCCTTCGACTGTCATAGTTAAAGATGAATGTTTGTAAGAAATGTATAAGTTAATTGAATTTTAGTAGATAAATTAATATAATTTATTTAAATTCTTTCTTATTTTTATTTGATCTTTTTTTTTCTTTATAATGTCAAAAGAAATTGACTTTTTATCTTACAAAAAAAAAAAAAAAAGCAGACAGCCATTATGGGTGAATTTTATGTTCAAATTCCAGTGAAGGATTATGTGATTTTTCTGAAAAATCTGTTTATCAGAGATCCGAGTACGAATTTCAGTAGAATCCATTACATTTACTTACATGCTAATACCCTTGGGAAAGGTATGAATCCTCTTCTTCTCCCCCACAGCTATGGGTAAATAGCAGGATAGACCAGGTTCTATAGCCTCAAATGGCAACCTACTGCAGGAAAAAATCTGCCTAGTCAGTCATGTATCAAAAGATACATGATCACCTATGCGTGTATCACACATGGCATATAACTAAGTGCTGAATGTAGAAACCAAATTGTCCAAGACAAGATTTTTGTAAGTCAAATGGAAGTGGTGCCACATTTCTTTTATTTTCCACTTATCAGATGAGCCTATGCAGGAATCTAGATTAACTCTTCAAGATTTTTAGGTCAAATTTTGCACTGTTTTTTTTTTTTTTTTTTTTTTTTTTTTTTGTTATATTTATATTACTGATTTTGTTTCTATTAACACAGTGGTGATCTCTTGTGTTAGAGTAATGCAGACAGTTTGAAAATGGCACTTCACTGTGAGGCTAATAGGTGTGACCTGGAGTGGAGAGTAGACAGGTGGGGAGAAACCTTGTTTTACCAAAACATAACATTCCTACCAGTGTAGGTATCTCTTTCTCTGTGTTTGTTTCTCTCTCTCATATATATATATATATATATATATGTGTGTGTCTCTGTGTATATCTCCATCTTCTCTCTCTCTCTTTGTATACAGACTTATCTACTCCCCACCTCCCAATGTCTGCTTATCTGTGGACACATACTGCCTGAAAGATAAGATTCAGCTGGGTCAGGCTGAGGGCGAGGTAGTTGCTTGCATGGAAAACACATGCACGTTGTTCTCCAAGTAATGATGCTAAGGAATTTTTCTACCAAACAAGTTTTTATTCATTCCCTTACTTATTTCTCATTGGGTCAAAAGACTTTCTTTTATCAAACCTTTTCTTCATCGCTTTTTTATTTGGTCAGCAAAGAATTTCAATTCATTTTCTAATGTCCTTATTCCATTTTCTAATGTCCTTATTCCATTTTCTAATGTCCTTATTCCATTTTCTAATGTCCTTATTCCATTTTCTAATGTCCTTATTCCATTTTCTAATGTCCTTATTCCATTTTCTAATGTCCTTATTCCATTTTCTAATGTCCTTATTCCATTTTTCACCTAAAATGTTTATTCCACCAGAAAGTTTAATTTTAATTTTTCAAACACATTGTTTTTTTTCTTTTCTTTTTTTTCTTTCTCATACTTAGATATTTCCCATCTGAATTTCCAGGATGAGAAGTTATCATTATTTAAATTATTTACATTCAGACTAATGTTGTCATCTTTGTTGATATTATCATCTGATTTGGTCTGGTGCTTCTGCTATGTATTTAGAGATTCTAGATGAAATCCAAAGATTATTAGTACTGACTTGGCATCTTGGCTTCAGCCACTTTCCCAACGTGGTAACATAACTTCCTGTGATTTTTCTATAAATACTTTCATCGTAATTATTCTGATGAACTTTCTTCTATGGTACCTAGACTTTATGAATTTAAGTGCAGTACTAGATTAGCTGTTAGGTCTCATCATTTTCCAGTTGAAATGGCGAGATGTAACCGTAAGTTCTATGCTAACAGTTTCTTCCCTCGCACTTCTCGTTTGTGGAACTCTCTTATGGCCACTTGCTTCCCAGTCAAGTTTGAATTTTCAAAAATATAAATGCAGTGTCAACCTTTATCTTCTGTCTTCTTGATTCTTGTTCTTTTATTGTCCTCTCTCCTTAATATTTTTCTGTCCTGGGTAAGATGATGAACTACGTCCAACAGCAAGACCTGATTAGGAGTTTTTGAGGAGCATGGAACCACCTCTTAATTGCTGGTGTTCCCAGGTTCACCCTGACCCGGGGTGGTAGCACCTGTTAGGGTCCCAACTATGGGCAAATAGTTAACCCACAAACTGGGGTCAAAACACTATGAAAGTGTAAAAACAGCTTTTGATACCAGAAATATTTTGTAAAAAAATTATTACCAGCAATACATTGTTTGACAAAAAATATTACCAGTGAAAAAAAATTATTACCAGAACTAGATTTGCGAAGGAAAAATTATTACCAGAACTAGATTTGCGAAGGAAAAATTATTACCAGAACTAGATTTGCGAAGGAAAAATTATTACCAGAACTAGATTTGCGAAGGAAAAATTATTACCAGAAATAGATTTGCGAAGGAAAAATATCACCAACAATGAAAATTTTGTCAGCATTAAATAACCCATTGAGGTTGATACGCTGTAAAACAAACCAAACCAAACCATAATGTTTTTCTTTTTCTTGTATTCTTTCAGACATGTTAATTCTCCGTGTGTTTATTGCCTTGCTTGGGGTGGAATGATTAAAAAGAGAAAAGAAAGGTTTACACTTCCGTCTTAGTGGTTTTATCACTATACATGGGGTGAATGATTAAACACACACACACAGAGATTTTTCTTTCTATCTGCCTATTACTTATCATTCAATGTGGGTGTGACTAACAAAGGAAGCAGATTTTAATTATAGAAAAGGTGCAGCCTGTAAAAAAAAAGAAAAAAAATATGCCTCTTTTTGATTGTTTTGTGTCAGACAGCATTGTTAAGAGACAGCCTTCAGAAATAGATCTGCAGTTTAACTGCTAGAACTGCCATTGTTCCGAACAAGTGGACGGTGTGGCCAAAGCAAGGGACATGCATTTTACAAAATAACATTTTCTTCATTCACTGTCACCATTTTGAATTGCTCCACTTGGACTGATGAAGAAGTCTACATTTCAAATGTTGCACTGAAAAAATGGAAGCAGGTTTTTGAAAGTGTTTTTGTTCGAAGTCAAGTTGGTCGAGGACAATGAACAAGAAAGGTCAACTGCAATGTTATTGCTCCTGACCTGGCATCTCTACTTTGGTCATTTTCCCACTGCCATAATATAGCTATCATGTATCTTCTTTTTTTTTCTTTTTTAAATAAATATTTTCATGGAAACTGTTCTGATGAGCTTCCCTCTTCATGAATTTAATTGCTCTGCTAGATTTGCAGTTAGGTCTTATCACTTTCCTGTTCAAATTACTAGTTGTCATATTATAATTCTACCATTCAAATTTCCTTTGAATATTGCTGCCATATCTTTTCTGGTGCTCCTGCTTTATATTTAATAAGAATCTGCAATATCATGGTAATTGTTCTTTCACACTCAGTAACCCCTTGTGTCTTAGTAGAATACAAACCTTGTATGGAATGAAATGATTAAAAAAAAGATTTGTGAAGCACACTTTCTTTTTCTTTTTCTTGTTTCATTTTATAAGTTTTTTTTTTTTTTTATATTTTCTTCTTTCTCCTCTTTTTCCTTTCTTTTGTCTGTCTTTTTCCTTTCTTTTGTCTGTCTTTTTCCTTTCTTTTGTCTGTCTTTTTCCTTTCTTTTGTCTGTCTTTTTCCTTTCTTTTGTCTGTCTTTTTCCTTTCTTTTGTCTGTCTTTTTCCTTTCTTTTGTCTGTCTTTTTCCTTTCTTTTGTCTGTCTTTTTCCTTTCTTTTGTCTGTCTTTTTTCCTTTCTTTTTTTTGTCTGTCTTTTTCCTTTCTTTTTGTCTGTCTTTTTTCCTTTCTTTTGTCTGTCTTTTTTTTTTTTGTCTGTCTTTTTTTCCTTTCTTTTGTCTGTCTTTTTCCTTTTTTTTGTCTGTCTTTTTCCTTTTTTTTTTGTCTGTTTTTTTTTCCTTTTTTTTTTGTCTTTTCTTTCTTTTTTGTCTTTTTCCTTTCTTTTGTCTGTCTTTTCCTTTCTTTTGTCTGTCTTTTCCTTTCTTTTTGTCTGTCTTTTTCCTTTCTTTTGTCTGTCTTTTTTTCCTTTCTTTTTGTCTGTCTTTTTTCCTTTCTTTTTGTCTGTCTTTTTCCTTTCTTTTTGTCTGTCTTTTTCCTTTTCTTTTGTCTGTCTTTTTTTCTTTCTTTTGTCTGTCTTTTTCCTTTTTTGTCTGTCTTTTTTTCCTTTCTTTTGTCTGTCTTTTTCCTTTCTTTTGTCTGTCTTTTTCCTTTCTTTTGTCTGTCTTTTCCTTTCTTTTTTTTGTCTGTCTTTTTTTTCCTTTTTTTGTCTGTCTTTTCCTTTCTTTTTTGTCTGTCTTTTTCCTTTCTTTTGTCTGTCTTTTTTCCTTTCTTTTGTCTGTCTTTTTCCTTTTTTTTGTCTGTCTTTTCCTTTCTTTTTTGTCTTCTTTTTCCTTTCTTTTGTCTGTCTTTTTCCTTTCTTTTGTCTGTCTTTTTCCTTTCTTTTGTCTGTCTTTTTCCTTTCTTTTGTCTGTCTTTTTCCTTTCTTTTGTCTGTCTTTTTTGTTGTTTTTTTTTCTGTTCTTTTCATCTTTCTTTTTCTCCTTTTTGCTTTTCTTTGACCAGTCAGTGAAGGCACTATCAATGTCCAGTTATCAAACACCAAAATCCAATTTCCTTTTGAATGGCTGGTCAGTATCAACTGCCAACAATGACATCGTGATTGATTGGCTAATAGAAAAAGTAAACCAGAAAAAAGAAAAAAAAACTTTACTATCTCAACAGTAAAAGTGTGAGACCTAAATGCCAATCTAGTAGCTTAAATTCATGTAGTCGGGGCACCAGGGAAAAAAAAAACACATGAAAATGTTTGTAGAAAAGACAGAGGGAAGCCACATCTTGTTTGGGAGAAAGTGACTGAAGTTGAGATGCCAGCTCAGGACCAATTACATTGCAGATCCTTCTTTGGATGCTTAACCACTTCAACACCGATTAAACCCTCAAATACTTTGCTGAAAAGCAATAGGGTGATAAAGGGTTCAGAAGGTTCTCCAGAGTTCTTAAAAACAGGAACTACAGAGGCGGACTTCCAACAAGCTGGAAAGTAAGAAGCAGTAAGGTAATAGCTGTAAAGTTTGGAGAGAACTGGGGCCAGTGCTAGAGCAAAGTTCTTTCGGACGACGACGACGACTGGTATCCCGTCACCTCCTCTTGCTTTATAAAAGTTTAATTTAGAAGTGTTGTCAGAGACCAGTGACAGGGTTATGCACATATCACTCACTATAGCCTCAGTGGGGGGATGATATGTGGCTACTACAGATCAGTAGTGTTGAGTTGAAAAAATTTTCTGAGCAAAGTATTCCACCATATCTACTGTACACGTCAGAACTTTGAATTGTGCTAGAAAACCATTTTTTTTGTTTTGTTTTTATTTGTTTTTGAATGCTTTTCTAAAAATTTTCTTTATCATTATTTTTTCCCCTTTTGTAGCTTCAAACCAATAATTCAATACATCGATGAACAGTTTGAGCGTTACCTCCATGACGAGAGTGGTCTGAACAGGAGACATATTATTGACAACAGGGTGCACTGCTGTTTTTATTTCATCAATCCATCTAGTCATGGGTAAGTAAGGAGTTATTAATCAAAGCCACATTTCTATAGCGGTAATCTAACAACTTACCACAGACCTACCATGAGCCAACTTTTCTTTTTTTTTTAAAACTAATTGTTCACCCCCATACAAGGCCCAACATCCACTCATGAATGGGGTTGTTATGAGGATATGTAGGAAAGATAACCATCAACCCTAGACAGGAAGAGGTTGATATTCTAATTACTGGAAAAGCAACAAAACTTCTTGAGTCGGAATTCGTATTATTAAGCTTGGAATCCAGGTACCAAGGCAAGCTCTGTCAGATGTGAGGAATAAAAGACCCACTGGGAGATGGGTTAGGGTTACAGAGGCTGCTAAGGGATGCCTGCACCCATAATGGAAATGCCCTGCTAATGATTTTACTATAGGAATGCATTGAAAATCAGGAAGAAAGGTATTATCAGTGGTCAGGAATGGATGCAAGCATTACTGATAGAATAGGGCTATTATATGTATAATGGAAATGCCCTGCTAATGATTTTACTACAGGAATGCATTGAAAATCAGGAAGAAAGGTATTATCAGTGGTCAGGAATGGATGCAAGCATTACTGATAGAATAGGGATATTATATGTATAATGGAAATGCCCTGCTAATGATTTTACTACAGGAATGCATTAAAAATCAGGAAGAAAGGTATTATCAGTGGTCAGGAATGGATGCAAGCATTACTGATAGAATAGGGCTATTATATGTATAATGGAAATGCCATTGCTAATGATTTTACTACAGGAATGCATTGAAAATCAGGAAGAAAGGTATTATCAGTGGTCAGGAATGGATGCAAGCATTACTGATAGAATAGGGCTATTATATGTATAATGGAAATGCCCTGCTAATGATTTTACTATAGGAATGCATTGAAAATCAGGAAGAAAGGTATTATCAGTGGTCAGGAATGGATGCAAGCATTACTGATAGAATAGGGCTATTATATGTATAATGTAAATGCCCTGCTAATGATTTTACTATAGGAATGCATTGAAAATCAGGAAGAAAGGTATTATCAGTGGTCAGGAATGGATGCAAGCATTACTGATAGAATAGGGCTATTATATGTATAATGGAAATGCATTGCTAATGATTTTACTATAGGAATGCATTGAAAATCAGGAAGAAAGGGATTGTCAGTGGTCAGGAATGGATGCAAGCATTACTACTTATAGAATAAGGGCTATTATATGTATAATGTAAATGTTTTGCTAATGATTTTACTATAGGAATGCATTGAAAATCAGGAAGAAAGGTATTATCAGTGGTCAGGAATGAATGCAAGCATTACTGATAGAATAGGGCTATTATATGTATAATGGAAATGATTTTGCTAATGATTTTACTATAGGAATGCATTGAAAATTAGGAAGAGTTCTGTCCAGAAAGTATTTGTATTATCAGTGGGCAGGAATGGATGTTAAAATATCTAATGAAGGCATTACTGATAGAATAGGGCATTTTTTTTTTATATGTATAATGTAAATGCCCAGTAGGCATCCAAAATTTTTTTTTTTTTTTTTAAATTTTACTATAGGAATGCATTGAAAATCAGGAAGAAAGGTATTATCAGTGGTCAGGAATGGATGCAAGCATTACTGATAGAATAGGGCTATTATATGTATAATGGAAATGCAATGCTAATGATTTTACTATAGGAATGCATTGAAAATCAGGAAGAAAGGGATTGTCAGTGGTCAGGAATGAATGCAAGTATTACTGATATAATGGCAGTAAATCCACATCAAGTATAGTGAATCAAGCAAAACAAGAATAAGGATTGCCAGGAAGATAATTCTTGACTTTTTCGCGATGACTATTTACATTTTAATTTCTTTTTAAACTTGTATTCTTGTGTGTTGATTCCTTTTTAATGGGAAACCATTGTTTTGTTGTCGCCATCCTTATTTTCTCAACAACTCTTCCCTTTTTATGTTCATTTCAGCTTGAAGCCTTTAGATATTTCTTTCATGATATTAAACTTACCCTGGTTACAAAAATGTGTTGTGATACAAAAAGTTTTCTGCATCACAAAGTCAACATTGTCCCCACATCATTGCCAAAAAAAAAAAACTCATTCACAATAAAAAAAAAAGTTTCTAGCTTAAATGCACAAAGCGTAAGGTAAGATTTTGCCACTTGGTTCGTTCCCTTGCCAAATTTTGGAAAGGAAATGACATGTTGAATAAGAAGTGGTGATGGTGGTTGGGGTTCTGTCCAGAAAGTATTTGTTTAATAATTTTGATGGCTTACTCCATAGCAATAATGAGACATTGTGTTAAAATATCTAATGAAGGGATAGCACAGAGAGAAGTGAGTTCATGCCTTTTTCGATAATTTTTTTATGACCTTTTTTTCTTTTGTTAGAAAGAAAATACTAATTTGAAATTATCACAAACAGCCTCAGTAGGCATCCAAAATTTTTTTTTTTTTTTTTTTTTTTTTAAATTACAGTTACAACACTGCACCATTCCATTTCCATAAAAATTGTAATTAAGTTGCAATTAATTGGATTCATCAGTGAATATATACATGTGTGAATGGCCTGATTTGATTTCTAAATAGTTTGTGCATGTGTGTGTATGTACATACACACATACATATATATATATATATATATATATATATATATATATATAATGAAGAAAAATACAGAAAAAACAAACAAAAATCTCAATATTCAATTATGCTGTATTAATGTTAATATAAAGGAAGGGATTTCTTGAACTGTTTATTTAAAATAGTTCAATCGACTTTTTAATATTTTAATATTTGGAAATCATCTTTGAATACGTTTTAACAACATCGCCCACATGACGACAACGTGATCATATTTAAACGGAACGCTGATCTTATATAAAAATTTCAGTTATCTGTTTGGATTAGTTGTGCTCTTATGTCCATCATCTTTTGTGTTAAATTTTTATATGTTCTAATCTTAATTATGTTTAAATGAAAATGTCCATGATGATGGTCTTAAATAGACCGAAACGTCCAACATCGACTTTATATTAACATTAATACAACATAATTGAATATTGAGATTTTTGTTTGTTTTTTCTGTATTTTTCTTCATACTGTCAGATCTATATCTATATATTTGCTTACACACACACACACACATATATATATATATATATATATATATATATATATATATATATATATGCACATTTCATTGAATATGACAAACAAGCTTTTTATACAATTTCTTATGTGATCTAATAATTTTTTTCTTTTCAGATGATAAATTATATAAAAACTGTCCGAATGTTTTTTTTTATCCGAGTGCTTTTGGCTCTACATTTAGTCATTTTCAAGGGTGAAATATTTTAACTGTTAAATAAGAAAAAGTTTGTTGCATATATGTATTTATATAATGTTTTCATTTTTCAAAACACGGTCAAGATATTGTGTCCCTGTTCATAGTTAATATTATTAAGTGTTGGTTTTTTGTTTTTATTAATAAGGCTTCTATTATTTTTAACCTTTTTTTGCATGTAGATGATGCTATTATATTTGTGTTGTCAACAAGTATGTTAAGAATAGTGTCCAGTAGTTTTCCATGAATATTTTAAATGAGATTTAATAATTGAACTATGGTCAAAAAGGTGCAGAGTGGGTCGGCGTGTCAAATGTGTTAAAATTAAATAGGGCAAATATTATTTACGAATTTAACTACCCATTAAGGTATTGTATTCCTGATCAATCAAAATTCATAAATAGTTATATTGGCCACACTCTAACTGAGTTCATTATATTCAGGTATGTGCAAATACCCTTGGGCAAGGTATGAATCCATCTCTGTTCCCCTAGCTATGGGTTACTTGTACCAATAAGACATTATCTCCCCACCCCCAAAATAAAATAAAATTGTGGATTTTGGCATTAAATAACACATTAAGATGTTGAAACAAAAAAACACAGCCATATAACCACCTCCCTATTTTATTTTATTTTTTTTTTTTTTTTTTTCAGATAATGGACCAAATTGATGAATTTGGCATCAATATCTATCCTCTCCCTGATTGTGACTCAGACGAAGATGATGAGTACAAGGAACAATGCCGACAGTTAAAGGTAAGCCAGTTGAATTTACTTCATTTCACTTATCCAATTAGAGATGAGCAACTATTTCACGTATGATGAATCAGCCTTTCTACCTATAAGTTCATATTCCTTATACAAGTCTTGTAGTCTTGTAAATTCTTGAAAAAAAAAAAAAAAAAAAAAAAAACAGCAATGTTTAAGCTGCAAAAAAACAGTGTACCAAAAGTACGTTTTTCCCCTTGACACACACTATTATTTTTAACTACCTTTGTTGCAGGATCGCTTCTATGTTTTGGGTAGAAACATCTGTTCTAGAATAGTTACACCACAACACTTATTGCAGACTCTATGTGAGTCCAGGCAAAAAAAATGAGTGATACAAAACAATAAATATAAAACAAATGACAATGCATTAACAGAAGGAATTACATGTGAAAAGGATAAAACAACATTCTAAAAACTAATACAATTGTATTAAAACTAATGCAGTATTTATTTATTTTTTTTTTTTTAAGGGGTATAAGATTGCAAAAAAAAAAAAAATTATAAGAATATATTAGCATTTTTTTATAATTGATTTAATTTAAAAAAAAA